AATCTGAGTTGGCGACATATGTCACTAAGTGTAAATTCAACAGTTTGGAGTGTATTACTCCCTCTGTGTATCAGCTTGAGCTGAGGATCTTCTTTCGCATTAGCGCCATAAGTAGACATAAAGTAGTCATTGAAGATCGAACATATGATTGCACCGTCGGTTATGGCAGTTCCATCAGAGTTTACAATGGTGTTTATACAACTTGATTTTCTATTCTGCCTACGGTCCAAAAGTTTTGAGATGCAGCCTACCACATTTGCGCCCTTCAGTGCCATTACTTCCTCAGAGCATAGCATTTTGTGGTGGTCTTGGTATAACGCTGTAAGCAATCTGGTGTGGAGCATCAGCAGAGTAAAATCGTTAGTTTTCCTAAATTTTTTCTTTATTTTATAAAGTTTAGTGGCTACCTTTTTTGAGATGCCTGCAGGAGCAGCAGTCCTTTTCAACTTCTTAGTACGTTCTGGAGCCACAGCTTCAACACAAAGCTGAATGCGGTGGTAGAATTCATTACAGGCAATTTGTACATTCTGTGCTAAGAAGAATGGATCCCAATATGAAGACCTTATAAGATCCGAGAAAATTGACCAATTCACAGAAGAGAATGGGCGATAATTTATCACTGATTCTGTCGGTTTAGAAAGAATTTGGAAAGAACAACCAACAATGTTATGATCACTACCCGGCAACTTGTCACTGATGTATGTGGACACATGCGAACATCCCATCGTAAATATTAGATCAAGTGTGTTTCCAAGCCGTGTAGGTTCTGTGACGTGCTGTACCCATCCCAGTCGATCAAGAGTAGACATAAAAGGATTGTGTTTTTGTGGTTTATTGTTAAGGGACCATGGGATTTCGGGCATATTAAAATCCCCAGCGATTATTTTGTTAGTGTATGAGAGGTCAGCAATAAGAGAGAAAGTGTCCAACAAGTCATCGGTCACGGTGAGTGTAGACGATGGGGGTCTGTAAATACAACCTACTAAGAGATTTGTTGGATTAATAGAAATTGTAATCCACACCGAATCAGGAAGTCTCTGGAGGAATGGTTCATTCAGAGGCAGAACCAAGTATTTGTCTTTGACGTAGATTATACAGCCACCACCTCTACCATAAAGACGGTCATTACGAAAGATGTTATAACCCAGTATCCTGAACAATGTGTCAGACATCTCTGCTGAACACCATGTTTCTGTAATTAGTACTATATCAGGAGAAGAAAGGTGAAGGATATTACGCAGGAAGTGCATTTTATTTAACAGTGAACGGGAATTAATTAAAAGTAAGTGCAGTGTCTTGTTATCCGTTGGGTTGTCTACAGGAATCCAGGTACAGGACCCCAACGAGGTGGTATTTGGAGAGAGTGGAGTGGGGGTGGTGGATACGGAGGACATATAATTTGCGGAATTAGTGTCATTTGGGGGTGTGGCGGGTAGAACGCCACTGGACCCCCAATAAAGGTTGGAAGGGTGAAATACTGGGAAAATGGCGACCCACTGGGAGATTACAGTTTTCTGGCTGTTGCACATAACCTACGTGCCAGTTAAGATTATTTACATGTTGAGGTAGTTTGAGAGGATTTTGGTTGGGCCAATTTCTCTCAGCTACTTGAAGTTCCCTAGCAAGTGGCTCACAAGTTATGGAGCGCACAGGTCGCATATTCAAATGCTGCATGGTTGGAGATATGCCGATTGTCTGCTGGTTTTCAGTGGTGACAGCGTTTGGTGGAACGTTTAAAATAGCTGTGTTTTTATTGTGCTTAGGAGCACCCGTGTAGATTCCACGTGAGGTTTTGCTACCAGTGTTCTTTGCAACAAGGCTGTTCCGCAGTTTTAAAGGTTCGCAGCTTTTAGGAGAGGAGGTTTTCAGTTTCGTACCAGAGCGTCTATGCACCTGGTTGGTGAACGACAAAGAGTGAGTAGAAATAGTCGTTTGCGCAATGGAACTTTCTTGTATGTTCGGGGACGAGTTGCGCGGTAATGCTGGACTAATGTGACACTGAATGGAGTCAGAAGCGATATTTTTATGACAGTTGCTATTTGATTTCAACCTTAGAGCTGATTCATTTATGATCAGAGTGTCATCTAGGTCAACCAGGTGGGGAAGTTCCTGAGTTTCCGTGGGTGGCGGAACATATTGGTCACATACCGTTTGTCGGAAATAGGCTTTTTTGCACTCCCTTTGTAGTACTGTTAAATCTGGTTTCAGGACCATGGATACGTAATCTTTCCTAAGGGATAGTGCGCTCCTACTACAAATGAATTTTTCAGCAAGTGTGTCGTTTGAAAATTTAAAGAGTACTGGACAGACCTGCTTCGGAGATTTTTTCGCAGCCTCACACAAGAAAACTGCCGTCTTTCAATATGACAGTCGTTTGCCACTGCAGAGGAGATAGACTCAAGAGATAACTTTTCTGGTAAATTAAATGCTATAACATTTTTGGAGCGTTTAATGCGATCATGCACCTCAAATGCAACATGTTGTATAAGATTCCCAACGGATCGAAGGTGTTCGATTTTTGGTGTATCTGGAGTATTAAAAAGATACTTAATCGAGTTAAATTGCTCTAGCACTTGGTACAGAGATTCAAACCTTTCCTTCAAATCCTTCAGCTGTAATTCAAGCGCAGCAATCGTTTCAATCGCTTTAATGGGCGATTCTGCAGTAACTGCGCTGTGCTCTATCAGAGAGACCTTATGAGAACTATCATTTGATTGCTTTTCTACTCTTTCGCGCAACTTCGGCTTTATTTTTATCTTAGATGATGAGCCTTTAATTTTTTCCGTGCTGACGGATTGGTTATAACCAGGATGTTTTGCCAGCATTTCAATGGCTTCCTGTCTCTTCTTTGAGTTTCTTGTTTTAACTGAGGTAACGAGCATTCTTACTGATTGGTCACTCGGTTTTAGGGCTTGTGAAAACAATTTTATGTGGACAAGGATAAGAAAATAGGGGACAAATTTCACCGTTTTTGTTTCAGTGATCAAGAGGAATTAAACAGTTGTCGACAAACCGCCGAGGAAACAGACTAGGATTTTAGGGCTTATACGACCTATCAAAAGTGCACGAGAATTCACACAGGTCCAAGCAGGCCACGGTTACAAATGCAATGATCGATGGAGCTGACAAAGGATTTCTCCTTCTGCTCTCTACAATCCTATGAACCTATACAAACCAATCGGTTGTAAGAGCGCTCAGTTGTCCAAACTCCGCCTTATCATGGCCTTATCAAAGCCTTATCAACATGTCACCACGTGGCCAAAGCAGGTGAGCGTTACAGTGAGCTCTGACAATTTACTTGATTTTTTCGTGCAAACTCGCCGCAACTTGGAGTTTCATACATCATTTCATTGGATTTCATGTGAGGAATCTATTGTTGCAGTTTTTTTTGATATATTCCTGTCGGTTTCTGTGACAAACTGCTTCTCTACGGATTACCATCTTTCGTCAATCGGCACTTTTAGTGTCTTCCGTCTATTCTAAACTCGACAAGACTATTTCTGGTCTCAACTGCAAGACAAATTCGAGTGCCATCGAAAAAGCCCACTCACAGTTTTCTAAACGTGATATCAGGCAGACTTGTGCGCATTGCTTCCACTGCGACCGATTTTGCGCCACTGCTCCCAACGTTGTGAGCCATTGGCATTCTTCACCTTTGGGTCCCCAGTCCGGGAGTCGAACCGGATCAGCGATGGCCAAGCAAGATCTCATCGATTTTGTACATTGTCGCCAGATGGACGGCTAACCTCCACGCGGCCTTTTCTAGAGTAACCCTGCGTGCGCAAATAGGGCGCGGCGTAGCGAAGGCTCGTTATGCATGCGCAGGACGTGACTAAACCATCTCAATTTACGCAGCCGAACATCACAAAGCAGAGCTTCCGCCTTACCCAGGAAGTGGTGTCTAACGTTACCATTACACACTCGGTGTTGCCAACGCACGCGAACAATCCTCCGCAAGACGACGCATGTCTTCCACATGGATCGGCCAGGATTCGCATCCGTACAGCAATGTCGCGCGTACGCTGGCTCTGTGTACCCTGCCTTTTAGCGACAGTGAAATGTCGCGACGGCGCCACAAATGAATTAAATTGGCAAACGCTGACCAGGCTTTAGCGATTCGAAGGGATAACTATGCTCCAATAGTGCCGTCGGCAGAGAAACAGCTTCCTAGGTAGATAAAACTATCTACGTGCTCGAGCTGTGTGCCTTCGACGGTGAATCGGGGAAGAGATGCCTGCCAATCCTGTAGAACTTTGCATTTGGAGGGGGCAAATCATACCAAACTTAGATGCTTTAATCAGCAACCGATCAATGAACGATTGCATCCCATGCGGGTTGTCATCGAGCAGGGCGACATCATCAGCGTAGTCTAAGTCGGTAGCGCAATTGCCTGGAAGAAGCCCGATGCCGAAATTCTGCATGTCCTTTAAAACTCCCAAAAGTACATCATCGTTCGCAAAACTGAATAGATACTGTGACATTGGGCATCTTTTTGCACGCCACTGGCGACGGAAGAGTGGGAAAAGGGTGACATAGGCTCTCACTTGGCATGAAGTGTGGCGACGTAAATTTCCAGAACACCATACTTCAGCAGGCAGTTCTATAAAGCAGGTCGATATAGCGAGTCGAACGCAGCCCGAATATCCAGAAAAATGACGATGCTCCACACATCCTCGACCGGGGCGAAATTTAGGCTGCTCCTCCCGGTAGTGTGACTTACGAGTGGAAACCGATTTGTATTCTAAAACTTTTGGAAATTATTTAAAATTACTTTTCTATTCCACACTCTGCATTTTCTTCAAAAGCCTTACTACATCACATCGGAATATCTGAGGCGTTTTCCATTTTTAACTATAAGTGGTGGTGTGTTGATCCTCCGCAGCACATATACCAAAGTATCTAGTGTTGAAGTAAAGTACGAAGCACTCTATTCGCCATCTTCCTATTAGTTTGCATATAGCACCATCAGAGATTGTGGTGGATCTTGCGCTCACTTAGCCCAGCAACTGATATTAGCAAACCACACCGATGAAATTGACCAATGCGTTTCGCTTATTTCGCAGGTCCATCCAACTCAGCCAACGAGCCAGAGAAAGGCTTCGGTCACTAAGGTCAAAGTATGTGATCGATGATGAAACAGACGGTTCGCTACAACCTTAATTTTATATATGTATTACTCCACCCAGATGTGTCTATATTCTATTTACATGGTAAATGTATATTATATATGCGTATACTGATGCAAGCCATTTCTCGATTTTTTAAGGAAGGAATAAATAATTGCATCACAGAGTGCTTATCAAAACCCCAATGTTTGATGTCATAGTGAATCTCTCCGATGAGGAGGTCGCCGAAGTGCGTTCCGCTTCACTTTGTCCAGCATCCAGCAGATCCCATCAGGGACACCATCTCTGAAAATCAAACGGAGTTTAAGACAGCTGATTACTTTCATCGGTTTAAAAAACATGCAGAAGTAGTTGGCGCGCGGATGCGTTTCGTTTAATTGGCATCATTTAATATCAGTAAGCAAAATAAAAGTTAAAGTGCGAAGTGTTTTGGACTAGCTAGTATCATGTGAGTTACAACAAACATGCATTATGATACGTACAGCACGAACCGTTTTCCGTTCCACGGTACCAGTGGGACTGATGCTGCGAACGCAAGTCACACCTCGGGTACGAATAAGACGGGGATGTTAACGTTGCACAACCGAAAATATACCAAAGATTTACCGAACTATGGTCGTGGAAAATAGGCATTGGCAGTACCCGGTACCGATGCTTCGCTGCCGCACAGCAACCAACAGTCGCGAGGGTTGCTTGGTCCCCTTCCTACGCAGGCTCGAAACGATGACGTCCAGTTTGCGAGATATGCGCCCTGTCTCTTCGGCCATTGGCCTATCACAATCACTCCACTAAACATTTGTGAAAGCTGATTTATCACAGCGACAGACACAAAATGGCTAGTTGTGTTCGACCATCGCACTGTGTCTCACATCTGGTGGGAACACCCCGTGAGCAACGAGCTTGGTCGGTGTCTTGCTTATAGCACAGGAAGAGGAACCGCTTAGCACCGTTACTTTACGCACCAGACTCCGATGGCTAGACGATGTGTTACGCATGCCAGCACACCAACTTTTGAAAAGTGTGCTGTTTGCGCGATCGGGGTGTGGAAAGGCACAAAATGAACACAAAATCTAATCCAAACACGAGCCGCCCTTGGCTGATGTAAGATTTGCTGTCAGCAGCAGTGCAATGTAGATGATTCTCGATATGTATTTCAAATGACAATATAACAATGAGCTTGCAGGAGCTTAGAGGCATTTGCTTACATTGTTGCTCTATGTGGAAGAGTGTCGGACAATAAACTGATCATACACAGTATCGATCCATCATTGCTGATGACGAGAGACTTACCCTCTCAATGCGGACACGCCTCGAATTGTGCAGTCGCGTTGACCGACGAAGCGCATACTGTCACAAAGCACTTTGTTCATTTCACCAACTGGAAATGCATTCTATGGGGAGAAGCAAAACCGACTATTTTTGGCAAGTGGTGACCAATGGAATTTGACAACTGTGGTATGCTAAAGTGTGTAGAAAAGTAACGACACAATTTTAGGGCCGGTGGATCCCAAAAGTCGAATGAATGTGACTAGCCAATTCCCGATTGTTGGTGCTCCGCCGTATCAGTCACCCCATGTTGTATCCTGCAAACGTGGTAGCGGCACAACCGCACTAAACAAGCAAGTGCTTGTCCTTGGAGAAAAAAACTATAGGATCCATACAGGTAGCATACACAAGTTACTGGAGAGCATTTCGAAGAGCCATATATAGTTTCAGCTAAAAAATAAATAAATCACCATGCATTTGGTGGATACATAAAAATATAACGTCACTTGTACCTTGTTCATACTACACACAGTTTTTGGCAGATTATTTGCCTACGTTTTACCCTCAGCATTCTAATCGTTTTACAGTAACATGCAGCGCCTATTGCGGCCAACTGTATTACGTGGCATCTGGTTCCTATAAATTACGTACTATTGGACAGGGTCAAGTTGTGTTTTCACTGGTGTAAATATGTGCACGGTCAATGGAGGAGAGTTCATGTTTCATATTCATCCTCGAAGCTTGGCTCTCCAGGGCATATTTTGTATTTCGAAGCTATTGCGATAGTTACGGATGATTACATTCCTGATTCTTGGGTACTTCGTACGTGCGGGGTTGGAAGTAACTTCTTTGATTTGTGCTTCGGATGGCACAATCACAGAGGTTCTACCTATTTATGCGAGCCTTGGTGTAACACCAAGCATCTTTCGCGGAAGCATCCTTGGAAGCCTGCGCAAGTGTTGCTGCCACATTCTTGCAAACATGAAGACAAAACTACAGCAGTCGATGAATGGTCCAGTATGTGTTCCCATAATCGACCCAGCGAGAAGTTTTACCGGTAATTTTGCTGCTGACTTAATCAAGAAGTTTGGCTCTAGCTAATCGTCAGCTCGTTTGCACCGAGGATTCGAAGCTATTCAAGCACAGTAGATCAAGGCCCAACAATGAGTTTATGATCGATGTGTCAGTCGTTGCTCGCGGCGCTCGATGGACTAGCGATGAAATCATTGGCCGCCAACTTGGAATGAGCGTGATAACTGTTTGCTGAACCCGTTCCAGTTTTTGCACTTCTCCACGGTGGATCGAACAATAGACAGGTAAACCGTACTCAGCATTGATCTTACGATGGGAGAGAAAAGGCTGGTGGTAATCCCTGCAGCACAAATCCAGAAGCTGTATTTGAGTACCCAAAGCGTGCACCGTCCATTTCGGTATAATCTGTTCGCGTTGCCCACAGACTGAGTATGTGAGTATGTTTTGGTTATTCATGGAAGGTGGCATAGAGCGGTTAACCGGCCAGAGGGTACATGCGTCCATCACTACCTTCTTCTGGTTCATAAGTAGCCACTTAATCGTCAGATCGACCTATGCAGACCACACAGATTGACGGTCGAGATCCTGCTGATATCCAATTACGTCACTTCTCTAAACTCTCTGTAATGTACTCCATGGCAGCAGTTCCTCCTTTATGCTCAATATATATGGCACCACTCGGGCTAGTTGCTTTGGCATCTTATTAATTAGCTATCGGGATCCCGACTCCCATGTACCTACAGGGCTATCTGGATGTTAGGACAGAAAAGGCAATTTATCCCGAGAATCGCTTGCATCGTATTGAAAGATTGAACAAATCGAGTCACACAAAGCGATGCTAGCGCCCTCTCATGTTAGTGTGAAACAAGTAAGTGTGCAGAATAGCAAACCTAATCGGTCACGAACAAATCGCCCACCAAGGAGCGCTTCTAACAATCGACGCCAAAGTGTTTGATACTAGGGCTATTATCAATGTTCTCAATACCAAGTAGTTACTAATGCACCGTGATAGGTCGTGTACTGGCGCAAAACTAGTCAATCAACGCAGCCACTCACAGGCGACCCGTGGCTGCGGAATCCGATATGATAAACTAATACATTCCACGGTGAAACCATTAACAAGTCACGAAAATTCAAATGGGAAATTAATTCTGGCAGTCACTCATGTTATTACAGGGGCATAGTTTCAGAAGTAGACAATCACCTTTGCCCTATAAAATCTCGGAAGATTTCTTCAACTCTATTTTCAGTTTCCCTCTACTTGACACAAAAGTATAGGACCGTTGGAGGTTCTTAATAGGATCAGAGGCGTGAGGCAGTCAATTGATTCTCCTATACGAATAAAAGCTCTCCAACGAAATCGATCAGCGTAGTTATTCACCATTCGATCCCGCCTGCAGATAACGACGATTAATAACAAGCAGTCCCTTCAATATTTCTCAGGGTCTCTGGTGTTCTAGCAAGTGCAGCCTGTTAACAGATCTGATCGTTGAATTATGTGTCTTACCGTGAAGCGAGGGTCCCAAAGAGAAGCTGATAAACCGAAGTTTTGTGCTAGATTGGACATAGACTTATCGTGGGACCGGAGCGACACCCTGCGACTGCATGTGAGTCGAAACGAAAGGGGAAACACTCATCAAGACAAGATGGGAAGGGTACGAGAATTGGAGGGTTACGGAGTTTGTATTGTTCTCCGAGCTGAACAACTGAATTGCAGACATTTCGTTGCCAGGCTAAGCAGAGTCATTAGTGCGGCCGCATGTGTAGGAAGCGGGATAGGTTTAACTAACTGGACGACAAGAATGAAATACCGCAGAAGAGGGTAATAAAAGGAGAGCACAACCTGAGCGGTAGCATCCTCATCTCTATACGCTCCGCTCAATGCAGTAGATAGGAGCGCCGTCGATTATCGATGCTACGGCCGGAGCATCAAGAGGTTGTTTTTTGAAGGGTTCATCGTATTACATGGGTAGAATACTGTCGGGTTGCCCCGACGTGGACGGGAGGACGATTAGGGTTATCAACCAGTCTTTGGTTCAAAAACCTGACCACAATGCAGCGGGCTAAGAAATAAGGAGCCATCCTCACTCCAACCCCAACTTGGAAGATCGGTAGATTGTTTTCTGGCCCCTAACCATGTATCAATCTGATATGAGCGACAGAAAGTGTAAGATGCACTGTGAGCGATAGGATTCGCTTTGACGAGTTCAGTTTGAAGTCCTACTGTGATCAAATCAACCTCGTCGTAATTCAACAATGCCACTTCCAACAAGGCAGCTACAACAGTAAGCAAATCGGTCTGTGGACCAGTTGTTATATTCCCACTGAACAGTATAGTGAGCAAACGTCAAGTCAACATGACACGAGCAAGACAGCCGATGATATAGGATAATGTAAGGTGTGTCAGACAGGCCGCCCCCAGGATAAGCGGGTTCAACCACATAGATCACAACTGAGCCATAGACGTTTAGTTCATGGTCGGCGCTATTTGGTGGCATTGAATGTGTGGGCACAAGATCGACGGACGTGACACCCAAAAGAGAGGTCGTGGAGCGACTAGGGTACGAAATGGCATCACCATATTGCATAGTGAAATGATGGGATTGGTTAATCACACGAATGGAGCAAGTGTTGAGTGGACGCTGACATGGGGTGATGTCAATCCTTTTGCATTCAGCAAATGGGTCGCCGATCCACTAGCGCGGAGAGGTTGACAGATAATCGTATTCGGTGCGGAATGGGATCTAGAGACGCATGGAGGTCATGGTCAGTACATGTCGGTTCACTGGAGAGTGCGCAGAGAGCTAAACATGTCAATGCACAAAGGAACGTCAAAGTAAGCTGGAACTGAAATTTAGAGATCAGGGTTAAAGGTTTACATGGATGGGGATCATCATATTTGCTACTTGCACAGCCCAATGGATTGCTGAGGCTCGCAAACCATCAGATCACGTTAAGGTCCAGGCTCGTAAAGACAAATAAGAGTAATTTGCCAAATGTTCCTTGGTGGTTCCTGGGCTACGCTGGGTAGGCGGCTCAGAGGTCCTTACACTGGCAGTGATAAAAAAACTACTGTACCGCTAAGTAGCTCACAGTGTAGAGGTGCTCGAACCCAAGCGAATAACCCGTTGGCTACTAGTATAATACGCGATGCCACATTCACAAATGACCACACTCCAGCGTTTGGACGCAACGTCTAAGCAATCGCATTTCCCATGAACAAGCAAGCAAGCTGCCATGAAGCACGCATCGAAACTTAACAAACCAGATGATATCCCAAACAAAAGGGTCAGTTAATGACTAAAAAACTGCATGTAACATGCAATGCCGAAAGATGTGCAGACGCGTTTTGCTGGGGTTCAGTGGCAGTTCAAAGGTAGGACCGTGAACCGGTCAACACTCAGTGGCCAGAGAAGTGGGTGGCTAGTGTAAGGTGGAAAGAACGTGAGCATGATACCACCTGAACTTCATAACTTTCGACAGGAGGAACAGTGAGCCAAGGTAGGTACTAGAACGCAACATTCCCGAGAGAACACCGAACTAATTATGTACAGTATACCAGCAGTTATAAAAACTAGTGAAATGATACGGAATCACAGATCATTTCTAGAAACACACCTTGACATCTTGTTTGTTGGCGAGTATAAGCAGCGGAGCTGACTCTAACGCTGGATTCCTGATCATTTTGTCTAATGCAAGGAATGTCATCATGGTGTACACATACCGAACGCCTCCAGAGATTCATCAAAGCGGCTCACATCCGTGGAATCGATTACGTAAATTAAGCCATGTGACTCCGAGTAATACTGTACAAAAAGTTGAAATGGTAAAAAGAAAGCCACTTTGTCCCATAAGGATTGTAACTCTTCTTGTCCACCGAGATCCCAGAATTTAAGTCGGAGACCTCCGATAGATATATGGCCGACTGAAAAGAGACATTGTACGTGTGCAGAGAACGAACTGTTAAGTCCAACAGTGGTCGTAATCTTCTGAAGTGGAAGGGATCTGTAGTTCGGAACGAAAGTAATCTGAGTTCGTTCTAGATAGGTCTGAAATGAGATTAAACTGACATAAAGAAGAGAAAACAATAAAGCAAACATTAACAATAACCACCGCGTAAGAAATCGCTTCGTACTGTTTCCGACTGAATGGGACTTAGTTTATCTGAGTACAAAGTCTGCAACAAACCAGGTATAAAAGCATATAGGCCTCAAGGATAAGAAACCAGGGAGGCTGGAAACAGCAGTAATGCCCAAACATTTGTATTTATATCCAGTCTAGAACAAAATACACTGACGAGTAGTACAGTACACAAAGCTCTTTTGGGTAGCTTCTCAGAAGACCAAAGGCTCATCGTAGATTCACATTAAAAAGCAATAGAACGTTTATAAAGTATCTCAATCTTAGTATCACATAACCAAAGCTCTAGCCTGCGCTCGAACGTAAGACGGTTAGCTCGTTTCAATTTGAACTGCATAGTAGCGTGTTCAGTTCGTGATAGAAAGTGTCCTTGACTGCATGAGAACTGCAGTCGGTGGGAGCATAAGCAGAAATCACAAACAAACAGCGTTTTGTTTTACTTCGCGAATTTACCTTAGCTGATGTCGTCAAACGGGCTGCACATAAACAGCTGTTCACCGGAATTCAATCAACCAACGATGACTCAGCCTTGGAGCTGAGAATGATACCTACACCAGCTTGACCCGTGAGTGCCGCATCGGCGTCTCCGGATGCGTGCAACCAATAACGAGAGGATAAGCCGGGTGCAGTCAATTCAATAACCCCGTTAGGGTCATTAATCCTAGTTTCGGACACACAACACACATCAACACGCAAAGTGTACAAGGTGCGTGCGAGTGCAGCCTGCTGACCTGTTTGTCTTAGAGTGCGGACGTTGAATGTCGCCATGGAAACGGGATAGCGTGGACTTATAAGGAACTTTTGCCGATAGGTGCTGTGGTATGGTGGCTGCAGACGGGACTACTCCAGTAGCACTTCGGTTGCTGTCAATTAAGCTGGGAATTATAGAAGGAAGGTTAGTAATGGGGGCTGGGATGAGAGTAAGGGAAAAAAGTGTAAAAGAAAGAAGGGAGGCGCCAGCAGTAGCATGCTTTCGCTTATCCGCCCTGGTGTATGCAGCAGATAAGGCGACTCTTGATAATCTGCGCGACGGCCGATGCAGGATGAAGTTTATGTTTGAAGAAAATGTCATGGTTGTATGTGGGCTGGGATACTGTCAGGGCGCCCAGACCTAGACAGGAGAACGATTAGGGTCCTCATCCAAAGCCTTTGGCTCAAAAGCCTGTCCGCAAGGCAGCGGGGAGGTGGGAACGATTTAGTTTTACAGAAATGGACGCCATCCCATTTCAAACCCCCAACCTGGAGGACCAGGAGACTGAGTTTGTCTGACCTCTCACCATTGACCAACCTGGTAGGAGTAGCTCTTAAGATGCTCGGAGGCATCACCCAGTATAGCTCAATGGGTCAATGAGGTACGCAAACCGTCGCTCCACGTTAAGGTCCAGTCTCGTTGCGACGGTTTCTTCGAGTCGGAGGTGGCGAGAAGCAGTTTGTGATCCGTTATTAGAATAAAGTGACGGGCACATAGCATTTTGTTGAAACGGTTCACTGCAAGCACAATGGCGAGAGCCTCCCCAATGTTGCTATAATTCCTCTCAGTTATAGTCAGTGAATGACTGCGAGATGACTGCGCCGACTCCGTAACTGGATGCATCCGATGCCACGACGATTAGCAGCGTTAGCGTCAGTTCTGAATGCATATATATATATATATATATATATATATATATATATATATATATATATATATATATATATATGCATATATGCGGCAGTCTATAAGACAGACATAAAGCCAGTGAAAACCATGAAATGCAAATAATACATATAAAGACCACAAAGAAGAAAAGGATAAGAGTTACAAAAAAGCTTTTTTGTTTTTGAACTTCATTCTTTTGTTTGCGATGTAGAGCAAGAAAGTCAAGACAAATATTCGCACACGATTTCTATTGGGTCCGGTTCTGTGCCATCTCCGAAAGTCTCCAGTAAGCGGTGTTCTTCATATTTAATCCCCAGCCTGGAAGACGCACGGGACCTGCGACAGTTGCACCGGAAGTCAGCGCCTTAATCGTTTGTCGGTACGTGATAGGCTGACCACCGCGCGATTTCTCCCAGCCTGTTCCTGTGCGGGCGTAGAGAGCGCGTCGGGGCAGCCTTTCGCATTGCATGCGTCAAACATGGCCCACCCATCTCAGTTAGCGCAGCGGTACCAGCTGTCAAGTGGAAGTACCGTGTTACCCAAACCGCGAGGTCTAGCATCAGCGTTGCGAACGTGGTTCATCCACCACACTCGAGCTATGCATCGCAGACATCCATTGTCAAAGGCCGAAATCCGACGCAAGTCATCCACACGAATCGGCCAGAACTCACCCCCATACAACAGCATCGCGCGAACACGCGTTGTAGACCCTGCCCTTTACTAATAGTGAAATGTCACGGCGTCGCTACAGATGCCTCAAGTTGGAGAACATCGAACGGGTTTTGGAAATGATGAGGGAAATCCCTTTTCCAACGCCACAATCAGCAGAGACAGCTTCACAGGTAAAAAAAGTTGTCCAATTGTTCAAGCGGCGTAGCTTGAAGAGTCAGCACTGGGGCAGTTGGATGCCAATTCAGGACCAAAACTTTGCACTTTGTAAGAGCAAAAGCCTTGCCATATTTTACCCTTCAATCGCTTGTGTGCTCTGTGTGTCATCACCAAACAAAGCAATATCATCAGCCTAATCTAAATCGATCACGCGGTTGCCAGGAAGCTCTACACCAGAACCCTAAAGGGCCTCGAGAGAGGATATACTAGATCGCAAAATAGAAGAGAAACGGGGACATGGGACAACTCTGTCGTACACCGCTATTGACGATAAAAGGTGAGGAGAGCTGATCGTAAGCCCTTACTTTATCTGACATTGCAATATAGTGCTCGAAGGATGGCGATATACTTTTCGAGTACTCCTTTGTTAGCAACGAGATAAAGCTGGTCGACTGACGGAGTCGAAAGCGGCTCGGATGTCCAGAAAAACAACGATAGTGGGCTGGCGGTAACGATGACGCGTCTCAAAGAGTTGGCGAAGTGGTCTATGCACCCTCGACCGGGGCGGAAACCAGTCTGTTCTTCGTGGGAGCGCAATTCTCGAATCGGGGTTAGTCGGCCGGTGGCCGGTGGCCGAGTGGTCGGCACGTTTGCTTTCCAACCATGAGGTCACCGGTTCGAATCCGCGTAGGGGTGGGCGTCCTCGCGGTATACTCAGCCCGCGCGCGACTGGTGGTGGTCGCGCGGCAGCGAAGCGCCGTTACGGCGTATAAGCTGACACATTACATTACTGCGGAGTAGAATGGATGTTAACAGTTTGGAGACAAAGGACATTAGACTGATTCCTCTGCGGTTAGCGCATAGGATACGGGTACCTTTCTTGAAGATCAGGACGATAATTGACTCGCTTCAAGTGGATGGAACTGTTTCTTCACACCAGATCTTAGAGAACAGAGCTGTTAGCTGGTTGACAATTGCTTCGCTACCGAACTTGAACAGCTCCGGAGAAAGTCGGTCTGAGCCAGCATGCTTAAATCACTTCAAGTGTCGGAGCTCAAGGCAGATCACAGCTTCAGTGGGTGGTCCCAATGAGACGTCCCAAGGCGCGCAACTAGGTATACTCAATAGGCTCGCCGGCGGAGGAGGCAAGCTGAGTTGAGTGCGGAAGTGTTCAGCCAAGCGGTCCATGCGCCTGTGTATGTTGGTGATCGGCGTTCCGTCAACTTCGCAAATGACCTCACTGACATCAGATCTTTTGTGACCGGTGGCCCAAATGACCTGGAAGAGCTTGTGAAAGTTGCCAGAGAGGGCTTCCGTTTCCATCTCTGAGGCGCGCTGGGACCACCAAGTTTCGCGATCGGCTCGCAGGCTTTGCTTAAATTGTTGGCCGAGGCTGCGACGCATTGCACTGCTATTTGATTCGGTCGGGATAGCTCTACGACGATCAAACAATTCCATTGAGTGTGCGAAAATCCAACCCCTCAGAGGGCGCCTTGTGATTCCGCAGACTGAATGACTGGAAAATAAAATCGCTTCACGCAGGGAACTCCAATAATTTTCAATGTCCCGAGAAGGAAGTACTAATGAATGCATGCGACAAGGAAGCTTGATAAGCTGATCGAATAGAGGTGTTAACCTGTTGGCGTCGAGCGTACGGCGCTTTCGTTTTGAAGAATCGCCGAAGAGCAAGTAGATGTCCGTGCACACCAAATAATGATCTAAATCGAGGTACGTAGACCAAATCTGTCTATAATCTCGGACGCTGCCTCGCCATCTAAAACTGATTGAAATGTGATCTATTTGTGACCACGCTTGCGTTGCTGAAAGAGGACGCCAGGTGACTGCAGGTCTTCTGGCACGCCTAAAGTTTATACTTGAGAGAAAGAGACGGTGGGCTTCGCATAACGCAAGTCTATCACCGTTGTCAGAACGACTCTCATCCAGCGCGTGACTAAACTTGATCCCGGCGAAAACTTCCTGACATTCGGTGGTCCATACCCATGGAATATCCTTCATCAGCATTCGGTTTAGTGGTCCAACGAGAACGTGCATGCACGCTAAGTAGGAACCGTAGTAACACCGTACTAAGAAAGGATCGTAATGTTGCTACGTTTTAGGATGGGGGCTTATTCTTGATCGCTTTGATGTTGATGAATCAGGTCATCGCCCACTTTGATCAATGATAAACCTGAGGTATCTAATAGAGGTTATGAAAAACTCACACTTGTCTTTACTTAAGAGAAATCCATACATCTTTATCCTGTCAAGCACGTATCCCGTTCGTTGGTGTAGTTCTCCCGGGTTAGATCCCATGAAAATGTAATCGTCCAGATATGCAGCTGCTGCCAAAATCCTTCTATTCATAAGCTGCATATGGTATTCCCTGTAGCATCGCATCCATGTTCTTCTGAAAGACTGCCGGGCCGACTTAAAACAAAAATG